CAGTGACCCTTCTTCATACACACACACACACACAAAAGATTTGAAATCCGTGAAGTGAGTGTATACGAAAATGATGAAGAAAATGATCTTCCACTCTTGGGTCTTTTAGATTGCAAAAAAGAATGAGTCTTTGTGCAAACAAGGCCAATGGGTTGTGCTCTTGGAGTGCAAAACAAAGAAAGCTTTAAAGAGATTAGAATTGAAGTGATTGTTAATTTAATATCCAATTCCTTTATTTTTCAAGAAAGTACACCTGAATTCCAAATTATCTCTTCTTTTTTTTTTTCTTTTTCAATTGATGATTGAAGTGTTTTGGGCTCTTGATAAAGGGATTGATGAATATGTGATTTGGTTCTATACAACCAAAAAAAATGGTGATCTTGGTTGTGTTTTGCCTCAGCAATGCTATGTGGGAGAGAGAGAAGTGTATGAGAGAGAAAATGGTAGAAAGAGAAGCATACAAACGCACTTTAGAGAGAAGAGGGCAGAGAAGAGTGTTTGGGTTTTTGGCTTGCGCGTGAAACAAACCCACTTTTAGGGCAAATGGGACTCAACTTGGTACAACCCTAGCCACCTCATTCAAGCAATTTGGGTATATTCATATTCGGTGGATGTAGCGTGATTGAAAATTATATAGTAAACTGTCTAAACTCATAGTCTTTTTTTTTTTTCGAGTTTTGGCCAAAACCCCATTCGCCTAACATTTTTGTGAAAAAAAGAACATAAGCTAATTGTATCCAGGGAAACACCATTCTCCATTAAGATATAATGTGAATTTACTTTAATAACCTTGCATATATATAGAGAGACAGAGACTTGTATACACCAAATCATTCCATGTTGAATTAAAAAGTATTGTAAATCGGTTTATAAGTGTTAACCACCTATCAGATGATATTGTTTTAGTTACTGCTCATATTTGGTTTAGTATATCTCTACTGGCTTTGGCTCACCCTATATGGGACATCATTTTCAGGTTCAGGTGACATGCCACCTCCAAGGACGTAGCTTGGGAGGCTTAGAGGTCGGAAGATCTTTTTATCATTATCTTCTTTTGTATTACATGCTTTAGTTTCTTTCCAAAACACTTTCTGAAGAACTCTTATTCAAAAGCAAAATTATCGTATTTTGGTACAGATTCATTGCTATTTCTATTGCTCGTTTGTTTTCACATCAAAAATGTCATCTTCTACATAATCATTGATCATCGATTCATCTCTAACGTCAATCTATTTGAATATCAAAGTTGGAGGTTTATATTTGTAAAAATCTCCTACTTTTTTAAAGTTTATTTAAATTCAAAGTTTTTTTTTTTTTTGGGTCAGTTCTAAAAATACTAATTTTATTAAAAACCAATATATAGATCAAAAGTTATATCATTTCAAAATTTGAAATATAAAATTAGTTACTAAGCATAAGGTTGTCCATAAAAAGTGAAAATAAAATTATTTATCCTTTATGAAGAAGGCGTTTTTTCTTCGGGAGGTTATAAATTTAAAAAGTTGGGATTGTTTTTTTCACTAAAGAGGCCCAATTGAGAGATTTTGGCAAAAAAAATCATTATTTTAATTTATACAACTTATAAATGATTGATGGAAGCATATTGTGTTATGCAAAGGAAAATTTACCTATAAATCTCATCTTGAGGAATGGTGATCTGATTAGTCCCAAAAGTTTTTTTATAAACCAATTAATCCCATTAATTTTGGAAAGGTAGATTTAATATAGGGTAATTCTATTTACACACCACAAACCCTCTTAGTACATACCAATTACTCATTGCACACCACAACCAATTTTGATTTTCTATTTTTCACTCAATACACACCATCAATTTTCAAATATTCCCAAAATATCATCATCTTCTCAAACCCTAACCCTAACTCTACCTCACCGCCACCGCCACCGCCACCATCACCCGTTGTCGTCAGTTATCCTATCTCTTTTTACCACTGCCACCATCCGACCGACATCATCTCCTCTTCTATTTCCATTCCTAATCCATTCGTGCCCTTACCACGGTAGCAACTCGCGTTGCCATTTCCCACACCGCTAACAGTGCTACTTGTATCTCCCTTACCCACGTCACCCCTCTTCAATCCCTGTTGGCCACCCACTGTCGCTACCCGTCATCTAGATCCCCTCCACAATGCGACTCAGCTTCTCCACTCCATTATTCGATCTATAGTTGCAAGAGAGAGAGAGAGAGAGAGAGAGAGATTTGGGTTTCCAGATCTAGGGTTTGAAGAAAAGAAGAAGAATAAGGAGCTATAGTTGGAAATAGGAAAAGAAAGGAGCTGGAATTAGGGGAATAACAGTGGAAAGGGAATTTGCAAAAAAAAAGCGCAAATTGAAGGAGATTCAAAGAGGCGACGCTGTTAGTTGATGGCTTAGCAGCGACGGCAGTGAGAAAATGTTAGGGTTTAGCGTTAAAATTGGGATGGAGGAGATGGGGATGGTAGGGGGTAGGTTGCCGGAGCTAGGGATGGCGAATGAAGTCTGGCTAAAGCTAGTAATGGCTGCGACGGCGACGATTAGGGTTAGGGTTAGGGTTAGGGCTGGTGAGGATGGGTTGTGTGGATTAAGAAATTTATGTGAAGGTTAAAAATGTAATTAACTAGAAAGATAAAGATGTAATAAATTTTTCGAAAGAAATTATGTGTGCTGAGAGAATTGGTGGTGTGTAAATAGAATCACCCTTTAATATATTATTTGAAAATTAAATTTACAGTTATATCCTTATTTCTATTATGTCTCCTTCTTCTTTCTTTTTTCTTTTATAGTAGAAAGGTAAAATACACAACCTATAAAAATCAAATTTTGGATGAATTCTTATATGGGAAACTTTTTTATTTGAAATGACTTAATATGTAAGATTTTTCAAACATGTCAAAAAGATTACAAAAATGACTTGAAATATGGGGATTTTTCAAACATTTTAAAAGGATATAAGATTCTTCAAATATTTTAAAATGAGTACAAAAACTCTTTAGTAAGTTTTGAGCAAATGTATAATTTCAATTTGTAATACTCAAACGTAATAATCTAAAAAAATTCCTTAGTATAACACTCCAATATAACATACAAAAAAATTCCTCAGTATATTTTTTTCAAACGTAATACTCCAATGTAACACTCCAAAAACAATGATGTGGAATTTTTCAAACTATTCTAAAAGAGTGAGATTCTTCAAACCATTCCAAATGGAGTACAAAAATTCCTTAATAAGCTTTGAATAAATGTATAATTTCAAACTGTAAGTGTTACATTTTGGGGAAAAAAAATATACTAAGTAGTTTTTTAGTATTTTTATGTGTGTTACATTAGACTATTACATTTGAAATTACATTAATTGGAGTATTACGTTTGGAAGTGTTATGTTGTTACGTTTGGAAAAAGTACACTAAGGAATTTTTTTGTACGTTACAGCAGAGTATTACATTCAGAAAAAGTTTAAAGTGTTATGTTGTTACGTTTGAAAAAAATACATTAAAGAGTTTTTTAGTGCGTTACGTTGGAGTGTTACATTATTGAAGTGTTACGTTATATGAGATTTGTTTCAAAATGAGGGAAAATTCAAAACCTGAATAGTGCAAACTGTTCAAATGTGTAATTTCACATTTGCAGAAATCTACTTTTATCTCTCAAAAATTAATCAAATGTGTAAGTGACTACCATTTTGTATAATTTCTAATTTAATGAGACTTTTGGATTTATAAGAAGAAATGAAGAATTAAACAATTTATAAGATCATATTTTAAAATTTATTAATATTTTACCCATATGTAAATTAAGATTTTAAGATAACATAATATAATTATATTAAATTTAAAAAGGATAATATAATTTATCAAAAAAATAAAATAAAGTGAAAAAAAAACAAACCAAATTGGGAGGATGTGAACAGAAAAGAGAATCAACGGCCAAAGGTTGTTAGTTTTCAAAGGAGAGTGAGGGGGGGCACAGGTGCAGGCGCAAGTGCTCAACAAGTCGAGAAGTTATTAGTTGATTTACTGCAATATCACATATATATGGGTCAGGAATGGTGATGTCGGTAAAATTTATAATTTTATATTAAGTAATTAGATAATAATATAAAAAATATGAAAATTTGTAATTAATATAAAATATTCTTATGTGATACTGTAAAATTAACTAATAATTTTTTCAACACGTCAGCTTTAGAATTGCCATTTTTAAAAATGTGTCAAATCATTTTTATCGCAGTTTCTTGCAGTACCAGAAAAGGTCCATTAGAAAGGTAACTAACCATGACTATTTCATAAAGTTGCTCTCTTTTTATTCTTCTTGGGTTTTGCTCCCCACACAAACCCAGCATACCCTCCCTCCCTTGAGTCCCTTAATTCAGTCAAACACTCTCTCTCCTCTCCTCTCCTCTCTCTCTCCACTTTCCCTCCACTTCTCCTCTATTTTCTCATATCCCCCACCTTTCCCCATTTGTTTCTTTTTTCATCCTCTCCCCAAAGATCACCATTCCACCTCTATCGATAGCTCGATCAATTTTCTGGCCTCTTTATTTTTCTTTTTCAACCCTTTATTTTTTCTTTTTGAATCCCAAATGCAAACAAACCTCTTTACATTTTCCTCTCTCCATCGACTCTCTCTCTCTCTCTCTCTCCTGTAAACCACTGATGCCTTTCTTTTCTTTCTTCGTATTTTTTTGTATTTTTTAGGATCCTAACTTCACAAAAATCACAACTTTAGGACAAACCCAGTTTGGGCTGCTCTCTCTCTCTCTCCTCTGTAAACCACTAAAGCCTGAATTTTTTTTTTTTCTTTTCTTTTCCCGTCTGCAGGATCTTAACTTTACCAAAATCACAACTTTACAACAAACCCAGTTCGTGTTATTCATTTTTAGCCTACTTTTATTACTTCATATCTGCTTTGCAATCAAAAGATTCGAAAACTCTTAAACCCTAGTACCAAAACCTCGTAGTTTTGGCATCTATAGACATCACTTGATTTTGGGAACCACTCAAATGTCTACTACTCCAATAGACCCACAGCAGCAACTACCACTACCTCCGCCGCCGCCGCAAGAGATCCAACAAGAAGCTTACACAGCTCATTCGGGATACGGGTCAGTCGGACCCGTCATCGCGGTTCTCGCAGTGATCACAATCTTGGGTGCGATTGCTGTCATGATCGGCCGACTATGTTCGGGCAGACGGATCATGGGTCACGTCCAGTACGATTTCGAAGGTTGGATCGAGACCAAATGCGCCACATGTATCGACGGCCGGGTCGACCATCCTTCGCCGCCTCCCCCTCCGCCGCCGGCGGAGGAAAGTACGAGCAGTAGTGGAACAGGAAGCGGCGGCGGCGAGGCTCCGGCGGAAGCGCCTCGAGAAGCGAAGGAGGAAGAAGAGATAACCCGACAACACAACCCGAATGAGAGTAGCGGGTCGTGAGATGGGGTGGGTGATCGTGATTGAAGCCTTTTTGGTCCCATAGTACACTCACGGCTCAGCTGTAGCCAGGAGGAGGATTTGAGAGATTGCTTCTCTGGTAATTTTAACTTGATGTCATGTTTATTTCTATCAATTTTTTGGCGATTAAAAGTGGGATATTCAACCCAAAAAAAAAAAAATTAGAGAGAGTATTATTTGCAGATTTTAATTAGATGTAATCGATTTGGTACGGTTGAAATTTAAGTAAAAATTATTGTTGAATTGATAATGTCAATTTTATTATTTTAAGTACTGATATAGATTGTTTTTCTTATCAAATCGCACTGATTGAAACTGTTTGATTCGGTTCGATTACGGTTTAATCGATTTAAGATTTTTAAAACTTTAACCATTTTTTAGTATAGTCACTAATGTATATAAAAAATATTGAATTAATTATTTGTCAATTATTTTAAACATATTTAATTCATTTATTTAATAAATATTTTTCAATTCTTAAATTAACAAAAATACAAATCAAAAAATTTTAAAAATACCAAAGCTTTAAGAAATAATGAATTAGAGTTAAGATTATATATAATAAAAATTTACAAACTTAGATATAGAGATGATAAAATTTAATGAATTAAAATTAATAATTTATTATACTTATTAATATCAATATATTATTAGATTATATATATATATATATTATAAATATGACATATGTTGAATCGGTCGGTTTTGGTTTAGTTCAGTCCACAAGGTGTTTAAATTGAAACCAAATCAAAAATTAAAAAAATCGTATAGACGGATTTTTGTTAAAAAATTGACTAAATATAATCGGTTCGGTCCAGTTCAAACGATTTAATCAATTTTTTTATTTTTTCTTACATCCTTATTTCTAATGCACATCATTTTTTTTTTCCCAGTCCACACTGTTTATTGTTTCAAATATTAATTGTTGAACAAAAATTTAAAACATAAATTGCTCAATAAAAATGAGGTGTTTGAATATTAACAATTAAAAAAAAAATTTAATTTTTCAAATATCAACTATTGAAATGAATTTTGTTTGAAAGTTGATATCTAAATGAAAAAATTATGTGAGCTGACATGTTTTGTGGTGCACAAAAAGAAGCTCGTGTTATTTGGGTCTCACCGGGTTATTGGGAGTTTTATTTTGATAATAGTTTGCTGTATCATGTGCCTAGATTATTTTTTGAAAAATTAAGATTATTTTAATATAGTAATCACATAATTCAATCATTAATGAAAATATATTATTTATTTTATAATAAAATTATGTCACTATAATTATTAGATTAATTAAATTTGTTTCATAAATTATTTATATATAAGCACCTAACAATTCATATAATTAAAGTGGCACTATGTAATAAAATCTAAGGTAATGTTTGTTTAGCCCTGTGAGAAGAGAGATTGAACTAATAGTTTGTGTCTGTACCAAAAAAAAAGAACTAATAGTTTGTGAAACCCACCTAAAAAGTATTTGGTTGGAGATATAAATGAGAAGATTAACTATTCTCTTGGACTAGTAATCCCTCATGTGGTAGGTCTAACAAAATTATTGGAGGGTTGGGATTATAAATTGAGTGAGTGGATTAGTAGATTTTTAAATAATTTTTAATTAAAAATTATATTTTTTACAACAAAAAAATAATTATAATATTAAAAAATACACAAAAAAATAATTATAATATTAAAAAAATACTAAAAATTAAAAAATATTAATTTTATATATTAATAATATCTATGATATTACTATTCAGTAGTGTATAAACAAATACTTTTTACCATGCATCTCGAATCTAATACTATTATACTAATAATCTCCTTACTCATACTCACCATAGTCTTAAATCTCTTTCATCCTATAAAACCAAACAAACGTGACCTAAAGGATTAAAACAAGGGATAGAATTCTCTTTAGGTTTTTCAACTTAAGGGTGTTGTTGGCCTCTGCGGATCTAGCACAGAACCCGCATCGATAATTCAAACCGTGCAATATATAGGGTTTGTCGAGTACTTCATACTTGTAAAAAATTACGATGATCGGATATTGATAGTCACTTGATCAGATTATATTTAAGTCAACGATAAGTATAATTTAAAAAAAAAAAAAAATCGTTGACACAAATGTGATTTGATTAAGTGACTATTGATATCTGATCAATATGATTGTTTACATAAATGCATTGTTTAGCGAGTCCTATATATTGAACAGTTCGAATCATCGATGTGAACATTATGATAGGCCAACGATGGCCCATTCTGCTTTGGACCAGTGAGAAGCCTGCTGCTTAAAACAATATCTTTAGGCTGAAGTTCTCGACGGAGAGAGTTTTTTTCTTTATGCAAAATCATAACATGTAATAGCATGATAATATTTGAATTTTGTGCTAAATATAAAAACTGGGGGGAAAAGATGGATTTGAGGCGGCTACTGTGTAATTAAATTGGCTCATTTCAAGATCCATTTCGATAATTGGAATCGTTCATATTTTATAATATATTAATTAAAACATATCTACAAAAAAATTAAATTAATCAAATATCGTTTACACATTCATCTATTTATAAAAATAAATAACAATTGTAATTTAAAATATAAAACTGAATACAAATGTGAGTGAATGAAAGAATTAACGATATCTGATTAATTTAATTTTTTACAAATATATTTTACTTGATATATTCTAAAATATAAATTACTCAGATTATCAAAATATGTCTATTTAAGTGCACAGCAATAACGGCTGTGCATCCAACAACCAAAGTTCTGAAAAAAAATGTGTCATACGTAATTTTGCACGTGGTTGTCATTATTTCAATTTGGATACAACTTTACAATTCTTAATTGAGTCAAATGATTGAAATTACACTAGGATCTTAAGGATAAATTACATTTTGCTCTTTTTAGATTTGGTTAGTTTCTCATTTTAACTTTTACAATTTTTTTTTTTCTCACTTTAACTCTTTATGTTTCAATTTTTTTTCACTTCACTCCTAATGTTAATTTTTGTTAAAAATTAAATAAACACATTGACAATCACGTGAAATAAAAATATTTTATTAGATATAACTCAATCTTCTGACATAAACTTAAATTTCAATATAATAATATATTTTTTTTATTATGTGACAATTATTGTAACATTTTCTTTCTAATTTCAAACAAAAGTTAGTTTTAATAGTAAAGTGAAAAAAAAAAAAAAAAAGAACAACTTGAAACATAGGGTCAAAATGAGAAAAAATAAAGTTTAAGGTTCAAAATGAGATAGTAACTAAACATAAAAAGGACTAAGTGTAATTTACCCTAAATTTTCTAGTCATAAAGTTGTGGATAGTAACACTATGATCCCAATCCTATCAAATTTTTTTCTATAGCAGTATTTATTTTCTTTAATTTATATTAACATAGAATATATATTATATTAAATTTATCATTTTTTTAATGATTTTAATTATTTAACATGTATTATCATTATCAATAATTTTTTTTTATTTTACATTGAAATTAAAATTTACAATACTCAATTTAATTTTATGATATGATACACAAGTTCCTACCAATAATCCTCAATTTTAACAACATTATCTCCAATGTTGTGATGTTGATCATGGGGTAGGGATCGTATCAAAAATGATGAAATGATTGTGATTAAGAAGAAAATAATAATAATAATACTGTATAAATCGAATATTTATGCAGAACATTCATATTCATTTTATTTTAAATAGTAATATTGTAATATTATCATTTTTATAATAAATTTTCTTAAGACATGTCACCAATATACTCTATATTTACTCAATACATAGATGTGTTTTTACTAACAAGTGTCTCTTGAGACACAACAGAATATAGTAAAAAATTCAAAAATACAAAATGCTTTTTTATTAAAATCAAAATACTTTTTACTGAATTTAAAATATTTTTTGACATTTTAATCTTTTTTTCAAGCACCTTTCACCACAAAACTCTATACAAAACAATGTCTGTATTTGGCTGCATGAATAGCATTGTTAGTAATTTTTGTAGGGCTTGAGGTGGTTGGATCTTTCAATTTGTCTTATTATTATTCTTCACATTATTCCATATGGTCCCCTCCTGCTTTTGAGCTATATTTATTAATATTCCTTTCTTAGTATTGGAAACACTAGAAGGGTTTTAATATTACCAAAAAATTCCCAAAAAATTACTATATTAGGTATAGAAACCTACATCCACATAAATTATTTATGCAAACACAGACATTAAAAAAATACTTATGAAGTGTGATATTTACCAGGACATTAATAAGGGAATCCAAGGTTGATTAATTTACTCATTTTGTAAAATTTAATAAGTTTAAAAATATAAAAGTTAAACATAGAATTAATACGATATTAAAAATATTGAATAAACATAATTTTATAAGATTTTTTTGTGAGTCCACTCTTGAAAAACCAATCAATTAGGAGAGCGGTTATATACCACCTAAATAATTCAACAAAAATTTTCACTTCATATGCGACTTCTCATTGGTCATAATTTACCATTTTTTTTAATATGATGCCATTTATTGTATAAATACACACTGTAAGTGAAATAAATATAGTGATAAATAATATTTCTTTTCCGTCAATATATTAAGTACAAATTTGAATGTGCTTTCTATGTTTCTAGATTTGTTGCAATAATTTTCTCTTTCTGGGTTCCTTTTCTACCAATAAAATAATAATAATAATTAGAGAATGAAAATTTTGTTACCAATTTCTCAAATCTTTGAATGTATGTGGATACGTGTATATTTCTGCAATAACTTGTTGATCCTATGAATCATTGTCGGAAAATGTTAGTGATGGAGAATTAATTTCTTAACTCTTTATTTAATTATGACATAAAAAAAATATAAAATTCTTTAGTAGTTTATTTCCCTTTAAATGATGAATCTCCTAACTTAATTGGAGTACTTTCTAAATTTATAAAGGATTTACTTGTCTGTGTATGGTTT